AATCCATGACACACACCTTCATCAAATAATTGCTGTGTGTTAGTTTATTCTCCCCAAAATTACAGCACATAATTAACTCCTCCATTACCTAAACAAGAAACCACACATCTATTTTTATGGTATTTGTTGAATCTCAAATCATTCATGCAAGGAATTCCATTCACAAAACTATTACTGTGCATTCAATCTTGTTAAACATTAACAAATGCACAAAGGAAAAAAAAGTTGTGTTATCTCTCCCCCGAGATTCTGAATACTGTTTTCTTCTCCACTTTCTCAACACTATGTCATTCATTCATTCATTCATTTATGTATTCGATCATTCGAGTAAGCCCCAGTTACTATTCTGACTTATAAAGATTGAAGACAAAGAACCTCGAGTTAGATGGGAAACAATCTCTTTGTACAAAGCTATTGCAATTTGTGCACAGTAGGAAAGAATAAACAAGGTCTATACTGAAAGGCATGAGACAGCTTGATAATTCTAGAATATGTGGAGTTGGGAGATATCGTTTTGAGCAAGTTTATTGGGAAAGGTTGTTGTTATTTGCCGCGGAGTTGATTCTGACTCATGGCAACCCTATGTGTGCAGAGAACTATACTCCATGGGATTCTTGTTGTTTTCTTTTAATTTTATTGTGCTTTAGGTGAAAATGTGTAGCTCAAGTTAATTTCTCATTCAAAAATGTATACACATATTGTTTCATAACATTAGTTGCAATCCTCACGATGTGACAACATACTCCCCATTTCCACCTTGGGTTCCCTATGTCCATTCATCCAGTTCTTGGCCCTTCCTGCTTTCTCGTCTTGCTTTTGGGCAGATGTTGCCCATTTGGACTCCTATATATACTTGATTGAATTAAGAAGCACGTTCCTCATGTGTGTTATTGTTTGTTTTATAGGGCTGTCTAATCTTTGTCTGAAAAGTGGGCTTTGGGAGTAGTTTCAGTTCTGAGTTAGCAGAGTGTCTGGGGGCCATAGTCTCGAGGCTTCCTCCAGTCTCTGTCAGACCAGGAAGTCTGGACTTTTTTTGTGATTTTGAATTTTGTTCTACATTTTTCTACCACTCTGTTTAGGGCTTCATGTTGTGATCTCTGTCAGAGCAGTTGGTGGTGGTAGCAGGGCACCATCTAGTTCAGGGCTCAGGCTGGTGGAGGCTGTGGTTCATGTGGTCCTTTAGTCCTTTGGGCCAATATTTTCCTTCTGTCTTTGGTTTTCTTCATTCTCCTTTGCTCCAGATGGGATGGGACCGATAGATATATCTTAGATAGCCGATCAAAAGCTTTTAAGATCCTAGATGCTGCTCACCAAAGTGGGATGTAGAACATTTTCTTTATGAACTATGTTATGCCAATTGACCTAGATGTCCCCCAAGACTATGGTCCCCAGCCCCCAGCCCCAGCAACTTGGTCCTTCGAGATGTTTGGATGTGTCTAGTAAACTTCTATGCCTTTGCTTTGGTCAAGTTGTGTTGACTTCCCCTATATTGTGTTGTCTTTCCCTTCACCAAAGTTGATACTCGTCTACTATCTAGTGATTGTCCCTCCCCCGACCCTTGTAACCATCAAATAATATTTTTTTTCTGTGTGTAAACCTTTTATTTAGTTCTTATAGTACTGGTCTCCTATAATGTTTGTCCTTTTTGACTGCCTTACTTCACTGAGCTTAATGCACTCCTGTAAAAATGGCGTCGGGGCAGCGTCACAAGAGGAAAGGAGAATCAAGATCAACAGCCCAAGGCTGATTCCTATGAGGTGGAGATCAAATATGCCTCCTCTCTTTCTCTCTTCCTGTCTACCTCTTGGTCTCCTGGTTCCAGGAACTTCTCAGCACAGGGATCCTGAGTCCAAAGGACACACTCCACTGTTGGCTATTCTTCCTTGGTGGTGGTGGGATCCTCTCTTTCCAGCCTCTGGGATGGCTCATTTCAAGCCCAGTTGGATAGCAAAACTGACCAATGGCCTTGGTGGACCACAGTTATCCTATTTGCACAGTCCCACCCAATCACTTGAGTGGGGGTTATAAGGCCTTGGTGAGAAAGGCCAGATAAAGGTGATCCATCACACCACACCTCCAGATTCATCCCTGTTGTGAGATGTTGCATGGATTTATCATTGTTCTTTATCGTGGCATAGTATCCCATTGTGTGTATGTTCCATAATTTGTTTATCCATTCATCTGCTGATGGGCATTTAGAGTGTTTCCATCTTTTTGCTATTGTGAATAGTACTACAATGAACATAGGTGTGAATGTGTCTATTCATGTGGCAGCTCTTATTTCTCTAGGGTATTTTCCTAGGAGTGGGATTGCTTGATCATATGATATTTCTATTTCTAGCTTTTTAAGGAAGCAGCATATAGTTTTCCAAAATTGTTGTACCGTTTTACATTCCCACCAGCAGTGCCTAAGAGTTCCAATCTCCCTGCAACCTCTCCAACATTCGTTCTTGTCTTTTTTTTTTATTAGCTCCAGTGTTGTCAGGATGAGATGGTACCTCATTGTAATTTTGATTTGCATTTCTCTAATGGCTAATGGGGAGCGCTGGTGGTGCAGTGGTTAAGAGTTCAGCTAACCAAAACATTGGCAGCTCAAATCCATCAGCCACTCTTTGGAAATTATGGGGCAGTTGGCTAATGATCGTGAAAATTTCTTCATGTGTCTGTTAGCCGTCTGAGTGTCTTTGGTAAAGTGTCTGTTCATATCCTTTGACCTTTTTTTTACCGGATTATTTGACTTTTTGTTATTGAGGTGTTGAAATATTTTGTAGATTTTAGAGATTAGACCCTTGTCGGATATGTCATAGCCAAAAAATTTTTTACCAGTCTGTAAGTTCTTTTTTTCCTCTTTTGGTGAAGTCTTTTTATGAGCATAATTATTTAATTTTTAAGAGCTCCCAGTTATCTAGTTCATCTTCTTCTTCTGATGTTCGTGTGTTGTTAGTCGACATTTTTTATTCTATTTATTCCATGTATTAGGGCCCCTAATGTTGTCACTATTTTTTCTTCTATGATCTTTATCACTTTAGATTTTATATTTAGGTCTTTGATCCATTTTGAGTTAGTTTTTGTGTATGGTGTCAGGTATGGGTTTTGTTTCATTTTTTTACAGATGGACATCCAGTTTTATCAGTACCGTTTGTTAAAGAGACTGTCTTTTCCTCATTTAACGGACTTTGGCCCTTTGTCAAATATCAGCTGCTCATAGATGGATGGATTTATGTCTGGGTTCTCAATTCTGTTCCATTGGTCTATGTGTCTGTTGTACCGGTGCCAGGCTGTTTTGACTACCATGGCTGTATAATAGGTTCTAAGATCAGGTAGCGTGAGGCCTCCCACTTTGTTCTTCTCTTTAGTAGTGCTTTACTTATCCAGGGCATCTTCCCTTTCCACATGAAGTTGGTGATTTGTTTCTCTAATACTTCTGGAATTTGAATGGGGATTGCATTGTATCTGTAGATCGCTTTGGGTCTATAAGGTTTTTGAGGCTGTGTCCTTTCAGAAGCAGATGGCTGGGACTATCTTCTGAGGCATCTCTGGTTGTGTTCAAACTGCCAACCTTTTGACTAATAGTCAAGCACTTAAATGTTTGTGCCACCCAGGGACTCTGTGGAACAAGGAAAGGGAGTTAATCCAGAGGAAGAGACTGAAGATGCAGAGGAAGGAGGGCTTGAGTGACTAAAAAAGGTCCCTGACAAGGTGGGAGAGGATGGGAAGACTTATGATGGCAGGAGACATCCTTTCTTCTGAGGGAGGAGGAAGGATGAGGGGACAACTGGAAATGGAGGGACACTTTGCTGTGAAGTTGGTGGTGTATGGGGACTGGATCCTTCCAGCTCCTGAGGCCTAGTTGTCACACCTCTTCCCAGCTTTCCACCAAGTGACCAAAGATGTGCTGGGAATATTTACATGCCGTGGAAGTTAGCAAATGCTACAAATCAGGCCTAACTGTTTTTGTTTTTGTTTTTGTTTAAGAGCCAGTTGTTAAATATTTATCAGCACTCCACCAGGTGAAGGGAAGGAGCTTCACTTTTTTTTTAGGAAAAATAGGTTGGATTATTTTAAAAAATAGTTGCATGATTAGAGTTGAGGATGTAGTTGTGGGTTGGAGAAGAGTGAAAAAGATCATAACAGCTGCAGTGTGAAATGCAACAGGGAGTCATTAATAAATGAACAAAGTAATTGCCATGCAGCAGTGTGGACCCAGCTGCAGATAATACCACAAATTGTAGCAGTCACAGTGATCACAGTGACTTTCTGAAGTGATGCTGGACAGCTGGGAAGAAGAGTGGATCATGGGATACCAAGGCTGGTGACTGCCAAGGCAAGTGTGGTTGGGAGTCTCACACTTCTGTAAGGGATTCTAGGCTTCTGGTAAGAGGATTCCTGAAATGTATACCAAAGGTTCTAGGCTGGTTAGAGGACCTCCTCCTTATAGGGAAAAAAAAAAAAGAAAAATGAGGCACTTGGAGAAGGGTTGAGGAGTCCTGGGGCTCTAGGCTCAAATGAAGGGAAGTTTGGGTTCTGCAAGTGTGTGAGAGTGGGGGAAGGAGAACAAGAAGAGTGTCAGCATGGTAGATCTTAGAGATGAAGCCCATCTTAGTGATAAAGAGTTTCCAAGACAAAGGCAACCAGTAGGTGCCTGAAATGTTGCATTTGTCACAGCCATTGGCATCGAGGAGGAGTCATGAGTCAAAATGTGTCCATGATGGAGGACACTGATGTCACGGAGGACAAAAGCAGGGAACAGGGATCTGTGTTTGCACATCACCAAGGAGTAGAGATCTCCCATTAAAACAAAGAAAAGAAAAACCCATTGCCGTCGAGTTGATTCTAACTGCTGGTGACCCCATGTGTGACAGAGTAGAACTGTGATCCATAGGGTTTTCTATGGCTCATTTTTCAGAAGTAGACTGCCAGGCCTTTCTTCTGAATAGGGAGTTTAGATGGTAGAAATGAGAAGATGAGAGCAGTCCTCCTGACATGCAGAGCACAGAGGAGGCGATGCAGGTGTTGCTGGATGGAGGGCTGGACATGCAGTGGGAGCACTGAGTATACAGGCCCATCACTCACCTGTCAGGTAGCGAAGGAGCTGAGAGGATGCAGATCAGGACCACAGAGGAGAGTAGATGAGGCTTGGGAAAGAGAAGGCACCCATGGCTTCAGAGAACCCGAGGGGAGGGAAGGATGAAAGGACACATAAAGGTCCTGACCATGACCGCAGAAGATGGGTGCTCTCCATCCGAGGGGAGTGACAAGCACGTGATGCTGCCCTTTTGGGCTTAGGAATCATTGTAGTGTGTGGGGTGAGACCTGTTTTGCCTGTGGTAAAAATGGTGTTCCCAGGGCGGGATAGAAGATAACAGTCATTGGTATACAGATACCATGTGCCTGATGGGCTAGTCCAGGCTGCATGAGTGTGAACTTTTAGGAGTAGAGAGGGATAGAGCAACGAAGATGTGTTTGTCCCCTGGAACATTGTTGGGAGTAGCAGGATTGAAGGATACAAGAGGTGACGAGGAGTGTTTCAGTATCACACAGAATCTAAGAACACAGGCTCCAGAATCCGACAGTGAGGTTTGAATCTTACTCACATGTCTGTGTGCTCATTACTTAAACTCTCTGGACCTCAGTGTCTTCTTCTGTGATGTGAGGATAATAATCACTGTTTCACAGGGCTAAATGAGATTATGTGAGTAAAGGGCTTAGGACAATGCCTGGCACGTAGTTGTCGTTAGGTTGTTGTTAGGTGCCGTTGAGTTAGTTCTGACTCATAGTGACCCTGTGTACAACAGAATGAAACTCTGCCTGGTCCTGTGCCATCTTCAGAATTATTGTTATGCTTGAGCCCATTGTTGCAGCCACTGTGTCAATCCATCTCCTTGAGGGTCTTCCTCTTTTTTGCTGAACCTCTACCTTACCGAGCATGATGTCCTTCTCCAGGGACCAGTCCCTCCTGATAACATGTCCAAAGTATGTGAGATGAAGTCTTGTCATCCTTGCTTCTAAGGAGCGTTCTGACTGTACTTCTTCCAAGACAGAATTGCTCGTTCTTCTGGTAGTCCATGGTCTATTCAGTATGCTTCACCAACACCACAGTTCAAAGGCATCAATTCTTCCTTGGTATTCCTCATTCATTGTCCAGCTTAGTTAGTTAGCACATAGTTAGTGCTCAAGAAATGGACGGTTGTGTTAGTAGCAGAAGTAGAGGTAATTGGAATCATGTGGAGAAATGAATTATTGAAGGAATTTTTTAAATAAAGGAGAAGCCAGGTTACCACTGAAAGACTGGGCTGGCTTAGGATTTACAACAAATTCCTCTTGTGACTGGACTGCAAACTCCAGGAGTCTAGAGGGAGGGAGAGTGGTTGAGTAGATTCCCACTCCAGTTGATAGCATATCCCTTTTCCAGAGCTTTGGTTCTCCTAACAATACCTCAGCATCAGCCTCTCCCTGGCCAAGGATTCGAGCCCGTATGCTTTGAAGGTCAGATACTTAGAGTCTTAGTGCTCATTCCCAGCTGCCCAGCACGGCTTTTAAAAAGGAGTGGGCAGAAAGCGGCTTTATTTTCACCACACTATCCAGCAATACCATCATGGTAATGGGGGCCTAAATACCTCACTCGTCAATTTACCATTGCAGCATGTTTCCCAGCCTGGACTAAATTTCCTGGAATCAGGAAGATTTAAAATCTTCTCTTCTGAAGATGCTTGAATCCTGAGAACCTTCATTGTATTACCCATTCAAGATTGTCTTAGTTTCTTGGTGCTTCTATAACAGAAATACCACAAGTGGATGGTTTTAACAAACAGAAATTTATTTTCACACAGTTCAGGAGGCCAGGAGTCCGAATCCAGGGCGCAGGCTCTAGGGGAAGGCTCCCTCTGTCTGCTCTGGGGGAAAATCCTTGTCTCAGCTTCTCCAGGGGCATTCCTTGGAGATTCCACGTGGTATCTGTCTTCCTTGCTTTTGCTTGCTTGTCTGTGTGCCTAATGGGCTCCTTTTATAACTCAAAAGTGATTGGCTTAATTAAATACAGCCTACACTGATGAGCTTCATTAACATAACAAAAGTACAGAGGTTAGGATTTACAACACATATTTTTGAGGGACACAATTCAATCCATAACAAAAATGCAAACATCAGCCAACCTCAAGTAGGAAGCAAACATGCTCATTTGAATCTTTCTCATTTTCTGAAGGATACATATTGCAGTACTCTGAGGATAACAGTGAGCAGTGGGGAAGCTTTCCCATCAGCCCAAGTGAACGCTCTTACCGCCTGGAAAATCTGAAATGTGGTACTTGGTATAAGTTCACTCTTACCGCCCAAAACGGAGTGGGACCAGGGCGCATAAGTGAAATCATAGAAGCAAAAACATTAGGGAAAGGTATGTATGCACCCTGTTTCTAGGTTTTCTGTTTTTGAGGTAGAAGGGGAGATTTGAATCCTAAGAGATTCATAGTATATTTGTATGTTTGCTTGTGTATCTGAACATTGTTATTCCAAAAAATGGATTTGGCAGTGCTATAGTATAATGAAAGAGATGGCTAGCTCTTAACGAGTACTGCAGTGCTCCCTTTTCATTATTTCATTTGCAGTTAGAAAGAAGATTATCATTGGGAAATCAGGGTGTCGCCCAGGTTGGGCAGCAATGAAATGGGGAGTTTGTTTTCTCAACCCTTTCGGTGGGACCTTCACCGTTAGTCACTATTCCCCCTCCCTCAGTCTATCTATAATTTTCACATTGCCTCTAAGTCTTCCTTTACAGGGAGGAAGTGACCGGGATAAATTCTTAGCACTTCAATATGAGTTCCTTTTTTATCTGAAAAGCAGAACTTCAAGGAGATGAACCCCAGGGCAGTAAAGTTCAACAGTGAAATTGGAGGCCTGGGAATGCCAGGAAGATGAGGGGATCTTAGCTGTGTGAGAGTTTAGTGAGGAAGGTGAAGATAGAGTCTTTGTAGGTTCCCCTCACACCCAAATCTGACCAGGAGGTACAGGTTCAGATGGCAGGAGAGCAAGAGGACAGATGGAGAGGCCATTATTTGACTGAGTTTGGAAGAAGAAGTGGCAAAGGTTTAGATGATGAGGGATTGATTTATCCAGAAATATAGCCCAGCTCCCTGGGTTCTAGTATCAAGAATTTGGAGCATGAGGGATAACTGTTGGAAGTTCCCAAATCTAACTCTGTCTTCTCATGACTGAAGTGCACTGAATGGGAATGTAAATGGGTCAGCCCAGCATATCGCTGTGTGAGAACCACTGAAGGAAACCTGTAAATTAAAATAATATCGTTCTTCAGGAAACTCCAAGATAAACTCTGATGTTGTAGCTGCTGTCAAGTTGGCTCTTGACTCATGGTCATCCCATACACAACAGGATAGGACCGTTGTGATCCATAGGGTTTTCATTGGCTAATTTTCAGAAGTAGATTGCCAGGCCTTTTTTCCTAGTCTGTCGTAGTCTGGAAGCTTCACTGAAACCTGTTCAGCCCCGTAGCAACACGCAAGCCTCCCCTGGCAGATGGGTGGTCTTTGCACATGAAGTACATTGGCCAGGAACACAAGTCTCCCTCATGGAAGATGAGAATTCTACCACTGGACCACCACTGCCCCCACAGAAATTCTACCCACCCAGTTTTCCCTCTCATACCTAGATCATTATGGTTGGAGGAAGCCCATTGGTCCATAATGTCTCTATACTGGTGGCCTGTTGTTAGTGACCTTTGACCCAGACATGGACTGAGCTCCTGGTCTAGACTGAGAAGGCCCAAGGGAAATGTGTGGCTATTTTGATAGTTTTCATTCATTTACCCCATGAACTGGTCTCCCAACCTGCATTCTCCCACAGAGCCCCAGTTTTCGAAGGAGCAAGAACTCTTTGCCAGCATCAACACCACGCGCGTGCGGCTCAACCTCATCGGCTGGAATGACGGCGGCTGTCCCATCACCTCCTTCACGCTGGAGTACAGGCCCTTTGGAATGACTGTCTGGACCACAGCTCAGCGGACCTCTCTCTCCAAGTCGTACATTTTATATGACCTGCAGGAGGCCACCTGGTACGAGCTACAAATGCGAGTGTGCAACAGCGCCGGCTGTGCAGAGAAGCAGGCCAACTTCGCCACGCTCAACTATGACGGCAGTAAGCGGCTGACTTGGTAGCCCTCCCATTCCCGTCTCAGAAGGAGATGTGCAAGTGATCCCTGTCCCCTTCCCCATTCAACATCCATCCTTGGCATGGGGTGACCGCTGCCCACAAACCATTAGGTGTCTGTGCCAGTCGGCATTCTGTCAGGCTCCTTAGTTCACGGCACCCAGGTGACTGTTACTGTGTGTCCAGAAATAAGGGACTGAGGGCCACAGGGAATCTCATTAAGGAATCTTGGTGCAGGAGTGGTTTCTCTTAGGGCTGAAGGATTCTTTACCACGTGGCCCTTGCCTTTGTCAATGACTGTGAGCTAACTTTGTTTTTGTTTTCTCCCACCCGCTTCCCCACCGCATCCCAATTCACGTAACAACTTTCTTTTTTGCTCTCATTAAGCCCTTAAATTGCATGTGCAAAAACAGTTTTCCATGATAAAGGAGGTTATGTTAGTCTCTGAGCAGAAATGGGGCACGGATAGAAATAGCATAGTGTGATGGGATATTAGCACACACACGTGTGCACGTGAATGCACACACGTACATATAGCACACGTGCACTTGTGTGCACACATACATGCACAGCACATATACACACACAGCCATGCATACATCAAACACACATGCATACAGTGAACACATGCACACAGCACACATGCACAACATTCATAATACAGGCACACATGTGTACATGCACATATGCACACACATGCCCATTCACACATGCGCTACATATATGCACATGCACACAAGTACATGCATCCAACATATGCACATGCGTGTGCACGCATGCACACGGACACTGTGCACATGCAGGCACATGCACACATATACATATGCGCAGCATACATACGCACATGCACTCCACACATATAAACACATATACATGTTCATGCATGAGTCCACACACACACCTTCTATGTAGTTTCTAAAAAGCAGGTTAGTTGTCACTTGACATTTAGTTAACTAAAAATAAATTAGTTAAATTGTTATCATTTTCTACGATTTATATCAAGGGCCATTTATTGATATTCAGACAAATACCCAGCCCAGTGAAGCTGCAAGGGACTGTGTCATTGACAATGCAGAATGTCTTGACCTTTTGTGGTTAGGGAACTTTAAAAAACCAAAAACAAAACCCATTGCCGTTGAGCTGAGAACCTTAGAATGCCCTAAATAACAATATGTAGATAGTGATTCCTGCAGCCTTGCAGTGCTTTTCCGCCATGGAGTGACAGTGATTGAAGTAGGTGCTCCCATCCCAAGGTAACACCGACAGCAGGACATGAGAGAGCATGGGCTCCGGCCTTTGCTTGTGTTGAGTGCTGGCTTCTGGCAGAGCCTCCTCTGTGCCCGACACCCAGCAGGAGTGAGTTGATCCAGAACACCTGTACCTGAGCAAATACCCCAGTACTATATTCACTGTTAGTCCAGCTAGGGCAGATTTTTGCTCCTCTGGTTATGTGCATTTGGGATCTTGCTTAATAAAAACTCCAGCAGAAACTTCCTTTGGAGTACACATTATAGTATCCTAGGATAAGAATGGTTCTGAGCCTCAGGACTCAGAAATGACCAATAGAAGCTAACAAGGTGATGCCTCCTGGGACACCCATTTGGCTACTTTCTCCTGGACTGCCCTGGTGGGCCTAAAGCTGGTTCTTCCTCCCATGGCACACTGTGTATGTCCATCCCCAACTCCTATCTAAGGTCATTTCCTCATCCCCTTTACTCCACAGCCAGAGCCCAGGCTCCTTTCCAGCGTTGCAGGCCTGGTCCCCTGAGAGTAGCACTGTTCTGAGGTGCAAGTCCTTCTGATGGTGGTTATCTTAGCCTTGGGCCTGCTCTGTCCCCTGGCCCTGAAGCAGCCTGGACAACTCCCGGACAGCAACCCTTGCTAATACTGTTCATAGACCACCTCACGCTCATTTTTTAGCCCTCAGTTATGAGTGACTTTATTCAAAGGTGCCTCCATTACAAATCATCAGCCACAGGCAGAGTAGCCCTTGCAACTTAGTTTCTACCCCTAAAGTGGTTCATTCTTGGGCCATAAAGACTTTGATGCTTACCAAACATTCCTACTTAGCGTTTAAGTATTCACCAGTGTTTTTTGCTAGCATATACACATTAGGGTAGTAAATATGTTTCTTTAAGTTATTGGCTTATATTAATTGATTTATGTTAATCACACTCTGATGCCCTGGCTTTTCTGTAATCTGTATAGACACCGCAGTACACTGCCCAAATGTGCACATCAGTGATTTGTTTATGGCAAATAATTTAATTAGAAACCCCTCATGTACAGGACTGGAAACTTACTCTAACTGAAGAAGTGCTTCACAGATTTTAAATCTGTTTGTATTCTAAAAAATACAGTATTCTCACTTTCTGCAGGGTCACAGCTTATCATTGTGAAAAAAAAAAAAAAACAAAACCCTGTGAACCACATTTGGTTTTCCAAAATCAACAGGATATGATTTTATTAAGGCAGGAAATAAAAATACATATTGATATTTTCCTTGAAAAAAAGATGGCAGGTTTCTTTGAACCAATCTCATGGATATATAAACTTAATATCTCTTTTGCCACATCTGCCAAAAGAATTTTTTTTTTCACTTAGGGAAAAACAAACATTGACAATTAGCCTCACGCCATGCCCAGTCAGATTCCAGATGCTTCCACGTGGAAGAATTTCTTTATTTGACTGTTCTACCATTTCCTTAGCCAAACGCTTCCACTTGTCCTGAAGTTTTCTTGCCTTTGCAAACCCATCCTCATTTGTGTCTCTTTAAGTACCTCCTGCCTGAGTTTCTATGCATTTGGGACTGGGGTGTCCAGCCATCAACACTGTGAGGTCGGAAGAGCATTCTTCTTGGTCTTAACAGATGGCACAGGGGACTGGAGTTTCTATTATCCCTGCTCTACTGACTAAATCCAAGATAAAGACTAGTTTTTCTCTGGGGGAAATTATATTATTTTTGTGTTTGTTTTCCTAAAGCACTGACTTCCTGGTCCTTGTTTTACATGGAAAATACAATGGGACAAAACATCCTACATAATGGAGGATACCAAAGTATTTGACCCCAAGAAAATGTATGTCTGTGTTTGAATCTCTGCAGCCTTTGTGGTCAGCCTCTGGATAGAAGGCAGCTGAAAAGGGCTCAGGGTTCATTCTACTTAGTAGTTTCCCTATAGCTGTAAATAATCTGAATCATAGCATCATTGAACAATGCCTGGTAAATAGGACATGTTAAAGACCTATGATTCCCCTTTCAAAAGTTGTGTGTAGCTTTTAGTCCCTAAAATAGCAGTTTCTAAAGTAGATATAGTCTTGCACCTGTGTCAAAAAGCAAGTGAACAACCAAATAGAAAGAAGTTTTAAGCTTCTGTGAGCCACCTTACGTGGCAGCTTCTCCTCGCAGCCTGTCCTCTCCTGTATGCTAGCCAAGTCTGTTGTTCCTTTTGGATGTGCAATTTGTCAAACGGCCTCCATCGGTTGTAATATTGGTGACAGCCCAGGGGACACTTAATTCTAGGCAAACAAAAGCATTGTGACTTTTTTGAGCACCTAGCCTGAGCATTATGCTTCCAACTGGCAGCAGAATGATATTTCTTCCTGAGAGACATGCTTTTGTGCAGATCCCAGTTCAGTGAGCTCTGGAGTAAGTTTGAAGTTTGGGCAGAGGGAGGGGAGGGACCATAAGTTAGCAAGGACCTAGAGGAAGAGTTTCTCTCATTTCTCATCACCGCGGACACCCTTGACTCAACGTGCGTGATTTTTATAACCCATCATCCCTAAAAACTCCACCATTCTGTCTTCATTCACAGCCACCTAACATCATGACCCTGTTTGCAGGTACAATCCCTCCACTCATTAAGTCAGTTGTCCAAAATGAAGAAGGGCTGACCACCAACGAAGGGCTCAAGATGCTGGTGACCATTTCGTGTATCTTGGTCGGGGTCTTGCTCCTGTTTGTGCTGCTCCTGGCTGTGCGGAGGCGGCGGAGGGAACAGAGATTGAAGAGGCTCAGAGGTAAGTCAAAACCCGCCTACTCCCTGCGAGCTGTCGCTTGCATCCAGTTGGGAGAGACCCACAGGAAGTAATTCCCTTGCCGGGGAGTTACTTTTACCTCTCTGAGCCAGGTCCTTCCAGCCAACTGATTCTATGATGTTTCTTCAGCAGTACTGCAGAGCCTTAGGGGAAAAGTAATAGAAACATTACCATCTCAATCCATCAGAAATTGAATGAAAGTCAACCCCTTACTTGTTTCTTAAGTCCTAGCTATTGGTAGGCAAAGAAAGTTATTTTCTGATAGGGTTTTCAACCCCTCTCTCTTTGATTTTTCAGCCTTTCCAGCAATGCCACCAATTAGGACGTCCTTTGAAAAGCCCTATCAGGTTTTCCCTGAAAATGAGAACTATTTCATTGTCTGGAAGCAGAAATGGAAGGCTTATGGTACTGAGAGAGCATTATGAAGCAGAAAATACACACTTTCCTAAATTAGAAATTTGAGCCGCAGCTCGATGCAAGAGTTGCACTCACCCTAAGGAAAAAAAAAAGAAATAATGGAAGATGGAGGACCTAGTCCAGATGAGACCCATTGTTAACAGACACCATTATTATAATGTCCTGCTCTGTATAGTTCTGTGTAATGAGGCTATTTCCAGTTTCTGGCCAACAGCCCTTACTTACCCTTGCTTTGCTGACTTGAAGACAATGAGTTGTTTTTGAAGATGAAACCTTGTGCAGGGGAAGTG